TAAAGAGTTTAACTACAGAATGCGTCCAGAAATGAGGAGCATTTGGGGTGGCAAGTCAACCTTGAAGAAAAGAAACATTTGGTTTTATGAGCATGAAAGGTAGTGATGACGGCTATGGAAATTTTTTGGTAGTAGGAGGTTGAGGAATAGCAGAAGAGATATATCCATTTCCCCAATAAAATGGATATTAAAATCACCTGCTGAGAGTAAAGAACATGTAGGTTTATAAAGAAGCCTGAATAGGTTTGAAATTACTCTTGAAATAAATAGGACCATGGTTAATCAGGTTCATGGTTAAAGACCAGCAAGTGATCATTTACTAAACATGATATTTTAAAAACCCTCAATGTAATTTTCTTTCATAAGGTTATTTATTTTATAATTTGCTTTATGAGTTCAAATTTAACTCAACAGTGATCTGAAGTAAGGCAGTGTTTATTTTCCTTATTTTCTCAAATTGAGGTGATGTCCTCAATGGGTGAAATCTCCCAAGCATCATCTTGTATTTGTTTAATTTTTGCTTATATATTTTGTTATACACATAAAAAATACTGGCCGGGCATGGTGGCTCATGCCTGTAATCCTAGTACTTTGGGAGGACAAGGCAGATGAATCACAAGGTCAGGGGTTTGAGACCAGCCTGGTCAACATGTTGAAACCCTGTTTCTGCTAAATACAAAAATTAGCCAGGTGTGGTGGTACACACCTGTAGTCCCAGCTACTTCGGAGGCTAAGGCAGGAGAATTGCTTGAACCTGGGAGGTGGAGGTTGCAGTGAGCAGAGATTGCACCACTGCACTCCAGGCTGGGTGACAAAGCAAGGCTCTGTTTCAAAAAAATTTTTTTTTAATTTTAAAAAATACCCCTTATCAAAAGCAAAAGCTTTTTCTTTTTCACCTTAAAAGAACCCTACCTGGTAGGTATTACTTTTCCCCCTATATAGATGAAGAAACTGAGTATCTGAGACAGACAAAAATAACACATCCTGTATTTTCCAGTAGGTAGAAGTGTCAATATTCACTCTCAAGTGTTTTTCTTGTCAAAGTAGAATTGTTCCACTATGTCATAAATTGTTTTAATTGAAGATCAAAGATAACTTGAATTTAATTTTTTGCCCATGTTTGTTTTGTATTTAAGAAACATAAGTAAGATTACCCCAAATCTACAGGGGGAAGAGGTTACAATAATCAAAAGAAAAATCACTTAAAAGAGTCACATGAACACTATTTTTTAATCAGAAGCTGTTTTAGACATTACACTAATAACTTTCCTTAATTTATAAGCTTATCAAGCTTTACAAAAAAATTTAAGAAATACAATCTAACTAAAAAAGGATTCTTACTGATAAGCTAAATGTAGTTAACTCACCACAAGTTTGCATTTGTGATAAATATTAATCCCTGTTCTCTTAATATTTTTAAGAACCCATTTTCATCTGCAAAAATAAATGCCAATTCTAAATGGCAGGTCAAACTTTTCACTAAAGTTTGAAAATAGCACCTACAGCTTTTCAAAAACCAAACTGCTGGAGTATTTGGCAATATTTGACATGTCATATGATGAGTCAACCAAAATGGTTATGAATCTTCCAGTGCTTGCAAAGATTTCAGGCTAGAAAATCTTGCCCAAAGCACTCTGAATTGGGCAAAAAATGTATAATTCTCCTAAGAGTATGGAATCACCATAAATGAATCTATAAATCTGAACAGATCTATGTCTGTCGCAGACATAGAATATTTCCAGACAATATTTTCATGTATATACATTTTTTGGCCTCAAGTATTAATAGTATTTCAACAGACTTAAGAACATAAATCTGTCTCCAGTACCCAAAATAAAGTATATGCCTCAAATTACATTTTAGTGCCACAAATATATTATTAATCATTAAACTCGGAAAGAATGAAAAAAGTTTTAAAAATGTGCAGCGATTGATTTTTTGTTCCAAATACACAAACATCCCTTCGTTATATCATCAGTATTCTGAGACTTAATTACAATGCAAAGAAACATATAAATCACCTAGCCCAACTCCTTAATTTGAGAGACAAGGAAACAGGGAAAGAAAATTTACACAGATTCACTTGAAGTAAAAGTGGAATTCAAATCCAGGTATCTATATTGACAGTTTAATGCACTTCCCAGAAGTAGCATAGATATAAATAACCTCATGGAATTTCATCTGGCAACCAAATTCAGAGGCTGAGTAGAACTTAAAGGATGGTGCTGAGTTTGCCGTTTTATCATATTCAAAAGCACCTACCATAACAAGTGGATGGCTAAACAACATTATAACACAGAATGAACATTATTTTGATTATTTAAGCATGTCATAAACAAACTTCAAACTATATTATTCAAGATCTCTTTTTAGTAACAATCAACTGAAATCACCTGCACTGAAAACACACAGCAGAAACAGGTGACATAAACTACAATAGACATCCCCCTAACCAAAACCCCAAATAACCATCCAGCTAGTACATTCAACCCCACAGCCTTCAATTCTACATGAAACAGTTGCAATCGAGCACTGATTTTCATCTATCACCAATCAAAATGCAAAATAAATCACTGCAAAAGCTCATTGGTTTATATTACTGCCTTTATATATATTAGCTTCCGGAAAATCATTCTGAAGAACTGAATCATCTGTATCATTTTTATTACTCACTCAGGCTTGACACTGTCTGCACAGTACTGACAGAAATGTACTTCAGTATGCACCTTCTTTCTAAATGAATATCTATGTCAGGTTTATTTATAGCCACTGCCTTCAATCAATGCATTCTCAGGTATGAGAAATAAAATCATCTCACTGATACTCTTCTATAACGATCTGAAACAAAGCATGGACATCTTGGCAAGTGGCCTTTGGAAAGATAATGAAAGATCTATACCATAAAATATACATTAACATTATTGAGATTCCAAGAACAATTATCTTACACTCTTTAATAAGCACACATAAACAGCCCCAGGTACAATTAGAGAAGTAATCTAAAACCTATGCATCCTTTTGCATAACTCTTTATGTACCCCAAGATTATTATAACCTCCTCCATTCTCTTTTCCTCATTCTGATTTCTCTGAAATTTGGGCACCCTCTTTGTTCCTTACTTAGCTTTTCTCTATTTAGGAGCTTTTCCTTCTAATTCTTTACAAAAGCAGGGCATGCTTCCCCCTGCTGGGAAAAAATCAAATTACAAGGTACCTTCGAACATGTTCCTAAGTATTGTATCAAGAAATCAAGTTCCTAGGAAAGATAAAATGTTAAGGAACCAAGTGCATAGCCTTCACTGACTGTTTTACCATCTACAGAAATACTTATGCACTCTTTTAAGAGTTTCTTGTATGCCTTTATTCAGCTTGGCATCTTCAGGTACAGTAACTCACATTAACAGCTGATGAATTAATCTTTGAGCTACCTGTCTCAAATAGAACTCCAATTAGCAGGTCAGAGAAAATGATCAATTTGTAACTTTTTCATTTTAAAGGCATTATCAGCTACATGAAGAAACTTCCAGAAAATACATTAAAGACTATTCAAAATATATTAAAGACTACTGAATATTGATAAGACTTGCCTTTTAAATCGTTTCAAAAAACCTTAAACATCCATTAACTCATTGTTTTCCTATTATTTTTATGTAGTTATCTTCTTAAAGAAATTTTCAAAAGTTCATTTTTATTGACTTACTTTTCCACTTTAATTTCTATTTTTTATTCAATAACCAAGAAAGTAGTAAGCATAATTGTATTTCAACTTCCCACTTACCTATAAAATCTGCTTTTTCCCTGAAATCAATTTAGTTATTTCACATATTCCATGTTTTGAGTATAAACCTTATCCTAATTGTTTAGCATTTAAATATAGAAACATATCTTACACTTCATTATTATAAATAACAATCCATCAATTAAAAATATATAGCTAATGCCTTGTTGAATCATACATTGAGGAGCAGAATTTATTCTTCCATGGTACAACTAAGTCTCAAAAAAAATCTTTTAATACTGAGGAGCTTGGGTAGAGGAAGTTATCCCTTTTAGGTTTTTGCTGTAGGTTAAGTCCAGAACAACCTTAGCTACAAAATTACATTGTGAACAATTTGATGATGAAGCAATTCGTTATTAATGAAGCACTCATCCAAAAAAATCTGCAGATGTTTTAAAAAGGCATGTGTAAATAACTATAGACATCATAGTTGTCTTTAGTAGTTAGATGGCATAATTATAACATAAATGGAGTAATTTGGTTAAGCAAAAACCTTTCAAAACAATGCAAAAGACAAGACATATATATTCCTCTGGGAATGAAATCTGCTTTAACGTTGCAGGTACACAAAAGAAAATGCACACTTGGTAAAACAGTTGATCAATTATGGAGTGTTCCCAGGGACCAATGTCTCACAGAGTACCCAATCATCACACTTCAAATAAATGTGTAAGCACTTTAGCCTCTGCTTTCCACATTGAAATATGTATAAGAACATGCATAGTTTAATTCTAACACTTTTCATAGGAAAGACTTTGATTAAAGGGTATCAAACATCACTTCCTAAATGCAGCAAACAAACAAACAACAACAATCAAAAAAACAAATGCTTATCTGTAGCTAAGAAGCTCTTAGAACACTACATTGATTACCATTTACTTCCAAACTGCTTTCCCCTCCCTCTGCAAAGTGAAAATGTCCCTGTGGACCGCGTTACACTTCATGGTATCTCTATCTATGATCCTAAGAGGTCACATCGCTACTGCCATTAGATCTCCGTAGCTTTGGTCTTCTCCAAATTAAGACCTGGAGGAAGAGCACAGCTGTCCTCCCCAAGAACCAAGAACCGGGTCTGTCCGCCCGAGCTCCGAGAGGAGCATCTTCAGGGGACAGTTTCTGCGAAGGCAGAGACAGGAGTCCCTCCCCAACTTCACTCTCCTAATCAAGCCGCGGGCAAGATGGGCAGCCGGCGCTTAGTGCCCATCGGTGGGGGCAAGTCCTACCTTCTGCCAAAAGGCGCGATGCATGCACAAAAGATGGATCCAGGCTATCTTTCTCTGCCATCAGCTCAGGCAAATATTTCTCCTCTTCCATAGCGCGGACTTCGGACTGTCCCCGGGCGAAGCGCGAGGTTCCGCTCGCTTGGATGCAGGGTCGCGGGGCACAGCCTGGCTGCCGCGCTGCTCCTCCGCGCGGCGAGGGGATCTCTGCGCGTCCTCACTGGGCCATGCGCCCAGCGCCTGCGACTCCCGCCGTCGGGCTGCGTCGCCCCGCGCCCACACCTGCCCGTCCCTTCCGTCGTCTCTCGCTCGCGCCGAGCCCCGGCTCACACCAGCGGCCTTAACTGGAGAGGCGGGAACACGACGCGGCCCACCTCCGCCAGCCACTCATTGGTGGTGGTGCCAGAAGAGGCGGGGCGCTCGCGAGGGCCGCAGGCCTTCATTGGACCGTGGAGCACGTCGGGTCGCCTGACTGGCATGAGGCAGCTGCAGAGGGGAGGGGAGGTTGGAAGGTGCAAACGCTTTCTTCTCGCAGCCCAAGCCTTCCCTGGCTATTAGGCATGCCCAGTGCTGTGGGGCTCTCTGTGTCTTCATCTAAGGTGCAGAGGAGAGAGAGGACGGGAAAAGCGCAGGTTAAACAGAGAGGCCTGAGTCAAAGTGGACAGGGGAGATGGAAATGAGAAGTGAGCCGCGGAGAGGGTGGAAAAGCGCCAGGGAAAGTCTCAGGATGGCTGCTGAGACTTCACCTGCGTCCCTAAGGCACAGGTGTCTCCTTTTCTTCACACAGCTCAGACTCACTCCAGTTGCGCAGGAATCAGCAGCGCACTGGGTCTGGAAACATAATGAAGACTGCATGTGATCGGCAGCTGGTATTTCCGATGACCTACATCTCAGGGACGCAGTAGGATGTTCATTGATAAACAAATAAGGCGTCTCGGAGCAATATTGTACAGAAACATGCTTCCGGTGTACAATCATTGGGATATCGAATTAGTTGTGATAACCTATCCTGGCCTCCTTTCCCCAGACCCTATCTGTGGAACGAAGGTTGAGAGAGGCTGAATTTAAAAACATATATATGTATAACATATGTGTGTGTGTGTCTGTGTGTGTGTGTGTGTGTGTGTGTGTATGTATGATCAGTCACTCTTTGTGAAGGAATTGGGAAGACGTAGAAGAAAGAAGAGACAAGAAAATAGATAACTATGTTTGCTCTAATTCTCTCGTTTCTCCTCATTGTAGATGTGCTGGTCTCTTTCACCAGGTACTGTTGCTGAGCTACTTTGTATTATCTATTACACCTGTATTTAAAGGAAAGTTAAACCCTCATGATACCACCAACCGTGGAGGCAAAGTCCATCCTCCTCTTACCAATGCGGCCATAAAACGTAACTTGAATACCTCAAATGATAGGAAACAATCTTTTCCCAAGTCTTGGGTTCTCTTTTCATAAGCAGTCATTTCCCCATTCTTCTCTCCCCATTATTTTTGGTGTGTATGAATGAAGGCCAACTTTGCCACAAATAAGATACGCTGAAGTTTTTCCAAGTTATCTTACTGTATTTAAATATTTTCCTTTTTATTTGATTTTTAGATAAATTCAGGAGATTATCTTTCATTTGTGTGATGTTTAAAAAAAATTAACATGCCTCACATCCATTATTTCAATTTGTCCTCACAGAAGCACTCAGAAAGATGTGGGCCAAGTATTAGTTTCTCTGTTTTTATATGTGGGAACTGAGGCAAAACAGAACTCGTCTCATGTCTAGTTAATGCTGCAGTTGAGATTTAAGTTCAATTCTATATTAGCACCATTTAGATCCAGATTATGCTGCTTCAATCTACTTTTCTGTATTTTAAATATTTATTTGTGCATATATGCACTCAATAAATGTTTATTGGATATTGAAAAGAGTCTAGGGACAGTATTTAAAAGTGAAGAAACATTGGTGAACAAGATGCACACATATTCATTCCCTGTCATCAAAAAGATGTTTTCTAATGGGAGACAATAAATAAAACCAAGCACACAAGAGAAGTAGTAACTGTTGGCTGCTATAAAGCTCAAGAAAGGACCAAGGAATTAAGAAAGAGAAAACAAGGGAAGAAATTAGTTTATTTATTTTTGATTTGGATAAACATACAGTCTTGCTAAGTAGCTGATATTTAAGGTGAAAACTCGTGGAAAAGAATGAGCCAAGTCTGTGAAAAATGCAAAGAAAGACATTCTAAGCAGGGGAACTTGCCCCTGAAAAAAAGCCTTGTAATGGGAAAGAGCTGTGCCGACTTTTAGAATTGACTGGAGTCAATGTGACTACTGTGATCAGGGAGAGGATGGATCAATAAGGGTGTGGGATTGATGTGTACAAACACCCAGGATTCGATGGATCCAAATTATTTAGATTTTATTCTAAGGGAATAGGAAACCATAAAGCAGTGGTATGTCTCTTCATGTGCTTCTTAATCTCTTTCTGATTCTTATGTTACTTTCAAAGAAGTTATCGTTTAGAATTGAGGATATATATATAGAAAGTTCTTGCTATTTTATCGTTTGCAGCATGTTTAGTAGTTGAAGGTTCATGCATCCTGCACCTGATCTGCAATAGGGATACAAAGGGAAAATGTGCTGCCAAACTTCAAAGAGGTGGCTATGATTTGCCATAGCAGTAAAGGGTAAATACAATGGCAACCACAGCCAAAAAACTGTAAATGTTTTAGAATAAATGTAAATTAGAACAAAAGTATTTTACAATAATTACAATAACATTTTTCTTGGCAGCATATCAACTGACTAAAAGCATATCGTGCTGATAAGTATGTGCAGAAATCCATTTTCATGAATGAAAAAGGTTTAGTAACCTTATAATGTCCAGCAACAATTACATTATTATTCACAGCCATCTTTTCTATGATTAAAGGGTTAATAAGAAGCTACCACAGAGAGCTGTCCAAGTGCTGACTTTATCATATAATGTCTTCACGTCATTATAAACACAGTCAAGTTAATTTTTTCTAGTTATTATCAAAATGAAAGATTTATTATTTGTAGTGTCTCATGTAATCCCCCATTAAATACCTAAAATGCATTCTAACAAAAGCAATATATTTATGTAACTTAAAAAATCAAAAGAAAATAAAATCTAATCTTTAGAAAAGTTTGTGTACTTAGTACATGATGGACATTGTAAAATAAAGATATATAAGTATATTAGCCCTTCAAAATCAATATGCTTCAGAATTAACTCACAAAGTATTGCCTATTTTAACACAGAATATGACTACATAAAGACAAACTCCAAGTGCCCTATGTATACACTCATCCAGCATCAGATCCACGTGTTTTCAGTAGATGGCTCTGTGTTACTGCACGTTCTCCATTAATTTCACATGCAAATATTTTATAGGTACCACATTATCATTTAATACTCTCAGAGAAACCTTGAAAATGCAAACATTTTATAAACAGAAATGTAAATAGAAAAACTTTTTTAAATGATTGTTGAATATAGAATATGTTGTATCTATCCTTGAATAAATTATAACTGCTGGTTAGCCCACCTCTTCTAATGATATAAATAACCTAAATCACCACTAAATTCATTCATCTAACTTAAATAGAGATTTATCTTATTTTAAACATGAGTTCTAGTCCCAAAACATTTTTAATGGGGTTCTAGTAGCTGAACCATTATTTTTAAAATGAGATATTATAGAAAATTTTGCCCCAACCAAATTTGGTTTTGAAGGATCAATAAGTCATGCACCATAGAATATGTTCTGTGGTTAAAGCACAAACTGTGTATTCAATACTTTCACATACCCTTGTAAGAAAGGTCATGCTAAAGGGCATTTAATCAGATGAATCCTTGCAAACTAATAAAAAAAAAATACCCAGCCTGCATTATCAAATAGAACACAGTTTCTGTTGCTTTTAGAGTTCTCATTAACTTTACGGATACCTCACTAGCTACTCTTGATTAGTTACTCCCAGGATTAACTAACTTTTGACTAGTTACTCTAAGAACTCAGTAAACCCAACTCACAATAAGAACCATATGTTTACCAAGTTGTTCTGGACTAATAATTTACATAATGACAATGGAGAATGAAGGTGTATAATATTCATTTAGTAATCAAATGCCTTGGTGCCTAGAACAGAGTATAATAAAGGACTGTCTCACATTTACTGAAAAGCCTGACAGAGCTCATTATATAAAAGGTGCTATTTTAGTATCTTAATTTCTCATAATTTCACTAACTACACAAGTGAAATCAGTTCCAATTTCTTTTAGAACTTCTATGTTATACTTTAGGATTGTAAGAATGGACAGGGAAATGAGGACTTGGCTCTGCTGTTTACCAATAGTGGTAATAGCATGTGTAGTGAGGAATTTCTAATATGTAGTATGCTCATAGCCAAAATTTATGCTATATGCTAATATATCATTAGTACCACATAAATATTCACCATTTAAAGCTGCCGTGTGTCTGTGTGTGTGTGTGTTTCCTAAGTGAAAAGTATTCTAGTTATTTAGTAGCATATTATATTTAAACTGACACAAATGTATAATTAAAGAACAACACAATAGAGACAGAAAGAAAATAATTGGCATTTGTTGAGGGTCTGCTGCTGCTAGAACACTGCTGTTCTGAATCCTCACAAGAGGGTGGGAGGAAGAAAGGAAGGAAAGCCAAGGAAGAAACTGTTCTTAATTCTAACGTGACCTAACAGCCCAGAGAAACTATTTCTGAGGTTCAAAGTATCTGTGTTTGGAAAACTGACAGAGTGGATGTCCTTGTATCTCTGTGGACAGTTGTTGCACTGACACATTTCAGGTGGCACTGATGCAGCTGAGGAGCAGTACTTCATTACAGAAAAGGGGAATGAAGCTGTTGTTCCAAGGTGAAAGTTATTGACTACATTCTTAAAATTAAATCCTTGAATTGTTGAATTGTAGCTCAACTATTGATTATTTAGGGAAATCAATATATTAAGGTAAAAATCACATCAGTAAAATACATTTTTCATACACATCAAAGGAAGATGTAGTTTCTGTTGAATTCAGTATTAAATACAAATATGAAAGCTAGAACATGATTTAATAAAACAGTATTAGAGTACATTAAAACTTTTGCCAAGAGGCAGATGTATAAGCAATTGTTTTATATCATGAATAATATAAAAAAGGAAAAGTGGATTAAATTTCTATTTAATTTGAAGATTAATAAAAAACACAAATGAAAAGGATTATTAATATTGAAATAGTATTTTAAGAGAATGCCATCCCATTCAAGTTTTTATATTACTACAGACACTTGTTTGGTATAAGTTTTTGTCATTCTGCTCTTTCATATTAAAAGACATCA